TGTTTGTACTCCAGCATTTGCCCTCAGAGTTCACGCAGGTGGGTGTCAGGGTGGCCTGGGACTGCGCAGGCCGCAGGGTGGTCCTGATACAAAGCTTCTGTTGGATCGCAGGAACCTTTGGCCGTGATGTCACTGTACAGTGAACTGCACCTTCTGGATGCCCATTAAAAGTCAGGCCGTGTGCAGAATTGGAGTGGAGGCAGGGAGCATGAGCTGGCCTGCCATTCTCTGTCCAGACTTCTCATTCACTAGGTTCTTGAGAAACAGCCATGGAGAAGCAGAGTCAATGCAGAATGGTCTGGTAAACCAGGATGCTTCTTTTGGCTTCAATGTCCTTATTTATTTATTTTTGTCAAGGTCTCACCTCTTCAAATGGTAATACTGCTGGGAAATTTTCAGAGCAGAAACTTCACCTGCCTTGGAAATTCAGAGCCAAAGATTTTTTGGTAATGATAGTAACAGATACTGAGCACATCAAATAAGTCAGACACTACCAGACAGATATTCACTTGGTAAACAACCTCAGCACCCGCTCAGCACCCAGCTCAAGTACCCCCTCACCTTGGGGCTTTCTGTGTGGTCTCCTGAGATTCATAAGAGTTTGTCCATATTCCTGGAATAGCACCTGCCCTGCTGGGTTCTGATTTGTGTTTTCATAACGTCTTCCTTCCTGCCTGGATGGTGAAATTCTGAGATGGAATGATTCACCTTTGATTCCCCAGCACCTGGCGTGTGTGGGCTGGGGTGTGGGAGACATTTTTTTGTGTGTTGGATGAATGAGTAATAGGAGAACTCATTAAATTTCATCTTTCACACTGGGCAAGAAGAGGACATACCACATTGAGATAGTTCCAACTTGTTAGTACTGAGCAACTCCCTTTTGTGACTTAGAACGAGGATTTGAGGGCACAACGGCTTTTTTTCTTTATCCCCTTGATAATTTTCTCCTATCTCACCTTCCTCCTCTCAGCCTCAGGAGAATGTTTGTCTTACTATTCTTCAGTTCAGGTCTTTCTGAAACACACCCTTCTTTTCTTTCCAGGCAGGCATTAATGAAAATGATTTTTACGACGGTGCATGGTGCGCAGGTAGGAATGACCTTCATCAGTGGATTGAAGTGGACGCCAGGCGCCTGACCAGGTTCACGGGGGTCATCACGCAGGGACGGAACTCACTCTGGCTGTAAGTGGCCTGCATCTGTGCTTTTGGGGCTCTGTGTCCTCAGTCAAGTGTTGGAGGGTTTGGACAGATGGGAGGCTGGAGCAAGATATCTGGCAATGGGTAATGCAAAAAAGGAAAATTGAAATGTGGACTGGATCAAAGGTCCATCTCCTAGAAAGACACCTTCCTACGTACAAGAGCAGAGAGCTGGATCCACTTGGAAGGTAGGATAGAGTAGGCAAACGTATAGTCCAAACAAAGCCGTAGGCAAGTGGCTGCCATCTTGGATCCATGGCATGATCCAGACAAGTGCACAAGCACAGGCCCAAGTGGGGACTCTGGACAAGCAGTGAGCTTGTCCTGGGCTGGAGGGTATGAACCGTTCACACTCTGAGAAGAAGGGCCAGAAGTCTTGACAGCTTCCCAAGTGAAGGAACACTCGAGAAGTAGTACCAGTGAGGGTGACCCGGCCCGAGGCCCGAGTGAGATGCAAGGCCATTTCTCAGAATTGAGTGTGGGGTCGAGCTGGGGCGGTATGAGTGTGACCTGATGGTATTTCCTGGAGGAGCAGCCCCTGAGAGTCCCCATTCCATGGCATGTGCCTCCAGGGGAGCTGCGTTCAGCTTAGAGAGGGGGGAATGCTGACGCACGCTGCATGTGGATGGACCTGGGGGCCCTGGTGCTAGGTTCAATCAGCGGGTCACCAAGAGCAACAGCTCTGCGATTCCTCTTCCATGAGGACCCAGCGTAGTGGGATGCATGGAGACAGAAGTGGACTGTGGCTGCCAGGGGCTGGCAGTGGGGTTGGGAGCTGAGTGTACAGTGTTTCACGTGGGGAGGGTGAAATGGCAACGGTTGCAAATCACTGGGACCGTACTTAGTGCCACAGACCCCACACTTGAAAGGGGTTAAGATGATTCATTTTGTGTCATGTATATTCTATGACAACAAACAACAGACACATATGAAACCATCCACCTTCCTCTCGGCCCAGCCCTGGGCTAATTGTGGAGGTGGAAGTGGAGCTGACACTTCAGGAGACCTCCTGTGGCACCACCCCATGGACAGGGGCATACAGGGACCTGGGCATGCTGGCCTGGGAAGGACTTCCACACTTGCTGAATTTAAATGAGCATGCTTCTGGTTCCCCTAACCTTGGGCCTGTGCCGAGACACCAAGGACACAGAAGCCTACACGGTGACACTGTGACTGGTCGTGACCCTCTGCCAAGGTCTCCTGGCTGCAGTGCCCTCCCCCTCACACAAATCTGCCGCACTCTCCAGTTCCATTTGTTGGCATTCTTCAATATTTATGAATTACCTGTTGGCAACCAGGTGAGATCAGTGTGTAACTTGCCAGTGAGATTAATTTCTGGAGAGGTCGACGTTCATAATAACCCAGGGTAAAAGAGACAAACCTGGTCTCTGTACTCACATTTAACCACCTGTCATTGTCCCTGCAAAGGGGACGTTGTATCACACAGTGACAATTGTCAGGCCATGACTCATCACCTGTTTTCTTCTCGATTTCTTTTTATTATTCAGAGGATATTGTAGCATCTCGCAGCATTTTAAAACATTACCCTGGATCCCACTGTCATTATGCAGACAGATTTTTTTACATATGGCCGTCATATTGCGTATCCAGTGGTGTTATTTTTAACTTAATATCTCGGTAACGGCTTTCGTGCTGTGACTGTGGCTTCATAATGATCATTGTTAATGGCCTGTAATT